AGCCAGCAAGTTATTATTCCCCAAAGCTCCTGGAGATCATCGTCATCAGAGTGCACGTGGGGCGTGAGTTCTTGCTTCTCCACTTCTACTTTAGTCTATTTTAAGTCAAGGATATCTGAGATCTTTGTTCTGAATGTCAGAGGCCAGAAGTAAAGTGCCTCTCGTTTCCTTATAATAGCAGATGACTTATGCAAAGCTGGCCACAGCAGGACACTTCTGATCCCTCAGCTGCTCCGGCAAGGGTCATCCAGCCCACTGATGGGCAGCTTCCAGAAGCCTCTTCCTGGGATGGGCCTTTCTGCTGAACCCTACCAGAACTCACCCAGGGCAGGGTCTCCTTTCTCCAGTCTTGGCCCTAGAGAACCTATCTCTGGAGATGCCTTTAAAATACATATTTTCTTAGAAGGGGCCTGGACCTTCACCTGGTACTGCCTTCATGTGTATTTAGTCCTTACCTGAGGACAGGATGATAGAAACAGGATGATCAGAAACTGCCTTAGAGTTCTGTGTTGCTCAAGACCTATGGTTTCCAAACTGGGTCTACATCAGAATCATTTGGAGGTCTGGGGGTGCAGCTTAGTGGTAGAGGCCATACTTAGTGTGTCTGAGGCCTAGGTTCCTCCTCAGCAAGAACAAAAAGAAAAAAAAAGTCTTCTGAAGGACTTATTAAATGCAGATTCCTGGTCTCATCCCACTGTTTCTGACTCAGGGAGCTTGGCTTGGGGCCTAAGAATTTGCATTTCCAAGTTTTGTGGTGCAGTTGCTGGTCCTCTTTCTCCAGGGAATAGACTTTAAAAATGAGGATTTGAGGCCAGCACCCTCCTGATTTTGACTTGTCTACCAAGTAGGTAGACTTTTCAGATGATCTTTCCCTTATTTTTTTGTTCTAGTCTTCCAAATGGATTAAAAATGTATTTTGAAAAAGAAAAAAATATATGGTTTGTTTTGAGATGGGGTCTTATGTTGCCCAAGCCTATATTAAAATCCCTGGGCTCAAGCAATTCTCCTCCCTCACCTCCCCCCAGCTAGAACTATATGAGTGCCCCACATGCACACACCTGTAATCACAGTTTCTCAGGAGGCTGAAGCAGGAGGATCACAAGTTTGAGGCCAGCCTGGGCAACTTGTGAGACTTTGTCTCAAAAATGAAAATATAAAAGAGTTGGGGATGTAGCTCAGTGCTTGCCTAGAGCGTGTGGGATCCTGGATTTGACCCCCAGTACCACCAAAAAATATGTATATCAAAGAAAATAATATATAGGCTATAATAACACATGCTGTTTCTTTCCATTTCCAAAACCCACCACTTTTAAGTGTCGTGCCTTTTTTCCTTTTTTTAATCTGAGAAATTAACTTCTATATCTCTAAAAATGTTCCTGCTATTTCTCTGTCAATTCTTTTTCAATACTATTTATTGCTTTTCTGCTAGGATTGATGACTGTTTATCTCACTTCAGACTCCCTCTCCTTGCCTCTTGATATAAATATATTACCATTTATGGTTTTCCTGGTTATATCATTCATTGATTGATTGGTTGCTGGCTTGCTTGCTTGCTTGCTTGCGGAGCTAGGGATTGAATCCAGGGCCTTGTGAATTCCAGGCAAGTGCTTTACCACTTAGCTACACCCCTAGCCCTATACCTTTAACTTTTTTTTTCTTTTTTGAGGCAGGGTCTTGCTATGTAGTTCAGGCTGGCCTTAAACTCTCTATGTAGCCCAGGCTGGCCTTGAACTCATGGCAATCCTCCTGCTTCAGCCTCCTGAATGCTGGGATTATAGGCATGCGCCACCATACCTGGGTTATACCTTTAAATAACATGCTTATACTTTAATTTTTGTCCTTTAATGAAGACTTATAGGTTAAGAATGTCGGTGTCTCTATCCTGTCTTTCATTCTCTACCTTCCTCTCTCCTTTTTTTATCTTTCCTTCAAAAGATTGTTAATCATTGAAAAATTCCTTTGTCAAGATTGTTAATATTTACATTTTATTATATAATTGATTCATGATTTGAAATCATGCTTTGTGTATAGTTGGAAATCAGCCAGTCAATCAATAGTGCCATTGTTCTGTAAATATTATTCACAATAAGGTGTGGGGATGTAGCTCAGTGGTAGAGCACTTGCCTAGCATGCATGTATCAGGCCCTGGGTTCAATCCCCAGCACAACACCCTCCCCACCAAGAAAAAGTAATCACAGTATACCACTTGAATTTGCTGGCAACTGTATGTATGCACTGTATATTTTTGTTTGCTTGTTTGCCGTGACCTGTACAGCGTAGGATCCAAAGCCAGGGAGAGCGGTGGGAGATGAAGAAAATTAAAGAATAACAAGAAAGAAAGATATATATCAAAATTAAGCTTGAAAGCTGGGACTAGGTGGAACCATAGCCTGATGAGCTGATGCCCACCAGGAGTCCGGCAGGCTCTTTATTTATACAGGAAGAGAAGGCGGGGTAACTAGTGCTTCATGGCCTATGTGGCCTAGGCTGAACATAGCATGATTGTCTTGTGATCAGGGCATGCGCAGAAAGGAAACAAGGAAGAAGGATACATAATGTAACTGTCTCCTGGGTCTGTGACATCCAGGGTCTACTGTCTAGTCTATGGAGAAAGGAAAATAGGGATTAGGTGAAGGGCCATCTTCAGGCTCGGCCCTTGGCACTTGTTTGAGACAGAATCTCACTATATAGTCTAGCTGGCCTTGAACTCCTTATGTAGCCTAGGCTGGCTTCACACTTGAGATCCTTCTGCCTCAGCCTTCTGAATTCTATGATTACAGGCATATGCCACTACACCCCAGTTTGTGATTACATTTTTTATAGCCTTTTGTTTATCCTGAAGTTTCTAATTGCCTCCCCCGCCCCTATATTATTTGACAGTGTCCTCAAATTTTTCCCCTCAAACTTTTGATTTCATCAGGTTTTTTGTTGACTCCTCTTTTTAAATTGGAGAGTCCTTTTCCTGGGACTTCCCAGTCGTCCTCCATTCTGGACAGGTTGTTCTGTGTGTCTGCTACACAGCTGTCATCCTGGAACTTTCCTTCTGTACTTTTCTGGATTGGCTTTCCAATTGCATTTTATTCTAACTCCAGTCACTGATTGGTTCCAAATCATTTTTTTTTTGTAGTCTACATACCAATTAGGAGTGTTACCAAGGAGATCTTAAAGACCAAAACGTGTTTTCAAGAGCAGAGCTTTAAAATTTAGTATGTGAGTTCAGCACAGGTTAAGTGTAAATGAGAATCAGCTGTCTTTGGATGAAACACTACGACACGGGTTTCTTTAGAAGATTAAAAATGGAAATAAAACAAGGATTCCAAATACTGTCATCTTTCCAGAGCAGCACAGCTGCTTTGCAATCTGGATTTCCACTTTTTTGAAGGGTTGGGTCAGCCCAGAATAAGAGCTGGCTTCAGGGGTTGAGGAGTACATGGGAAATGTAGATCAAGATGAACCCAAATCCTGAGTTGAAATCCCAGATTTGATTCCAGTTAGATAGCTGAGCTCCCTTACACTCTAAACAATAAATCCAGCCTTCCTGGAATATTGGGAGGATTAGTTAGGCAAACCAAAGGATAGGAAGGCATGTGGGAAAATTGGGACATTCTGTATATACAGGTTATTGTTATGAAGTTGTGTTGAGATGTTGAATCTTGCAAGACAAAACCTGCAAAAAGGGGGCTGGGGGTTTAGCTCAGTGGTGGTGCCGCCTGCCTTGCAAGTGCAAGGGCCTAAATGTTTGATCCCTGGTCCCGGTACCCGCCCCCTGCAAAAACCCCGCAAAAGCTAAAAGTGAGAGAAGATTGAACTGGTGTTTAATGAACAAATTTTTGGTTAATTGAATACATTTAATAAAATAATATGAACAAACATTTTACTGTAGGGGTCACCAATTTCACTGTCAGTAGGGCCCAGGTAGCTTGTGTGTGTGTGTGTGTGTGTGTGTGCGTGTGTGTGTAGCACCAGTCTAAGAGGAAGCCCTTCCAACATTCACCTCTAGCTGATTGTTCCCCTGCAATAATGAGGGCCCAGTGTTGCCAGGTCTTCTGATTTTTTTTAAAGCTTAAAATCTGGATTTTTATGTGAAACCAGTTAATTTTTACATGCTGTTGACCAGGCTACAATTTTTCTTAACATTGGGCAAGTCAAGCAAAGTACATACGCAGTTCACCAATTTAAGGTATCTGCTTTACACTGTGAGATTTAAGTGTAAATTGCAAACAGTTCATAAAATCAGTTCTGAGTTTTGCATTTACACAGCTGATTTTAGCATTTAAGTTATTGACTCATCTCCTAATTTTGTGATTTCTGCACATGTGAACAAACAGTGTGCCCTGATGCATTTTTCTCTAAGAAGTTAAGAATGTTGAGTTGAACATGGCCAGGTTGGAGTCCCTTTAGAACGCAGTGAGAATCTTTCATCTGTTAATATTCATCTAATAATCTGGTCTTCGGGGATGTGGGTTCAGCCAGTTACCAAGTCACTTTGTCTAGCCAGTAGGTCTCTGCCTTGTTCACGGGGATTCCATGGGAAATCTTACAAGCTGATGAAGTCAGGTATATTAGGAATTTTACATTTCCCCAAACTGACCCTGATTTGGAGTAAGGTATGGAGTTAGTTGGATGTCACTTTTTAAAGAAATGGTGCTGGGGGCTGGGGATTTAGCTCAGTAGTTCCACCGCCTGCCTGGCAAGCACAAGGTCCCAAGTTCTGTCCCTGGTACCCCCCCCCCAAAGAAATGGTGCTGAATCTTTAAGGACCACTCCCATACCACACTTCTTATACTCTCAGCTCATAAACAAGGTCTTTCATAGTAACACATTTGTACAACACTTTATTTGCAGAACACCTTCATCTACATCCTCAATTAGTTCCTTACCACAGTCCTGTGAATTCAGGAATTCTTCCAGATTTTTGGCCAGTCTGCTTTGAGTTTGCAATCTGTGGTTTTCCTTTACTTAGGATGTTTACTCTCTCCTCTTTTTTTAATTACCACCAGCCCAGCTTCTCAGAGAAGTTGACATTGTTAACACAAGCGGATGTGGTTGGTGAGATTCTAGGTAGCAGAAGGAACATCACATGCAAGGTAATTAAAGGACAGCGGGTGAGGGGGTGGGCAGGGCTGTCTGTAGGTGTTATTTAAAAAAATTTTTTTGGTGCTAGAGATTGAACTGAGGAACTTGTGCATGCAGTAGGCGTTCTTTTGAAATGCTCTTCCCCTCTCTTCCTTTTTTTTTTTGGTGCCAGGGATCGAACTTGGGACCTTGCACCTTCGAGGCAGGTGGCAGAACTACTGAGCTAAATCCCTGCCCCCCCCCTTCCTTTTAGCCTGGCTCCCTTTTGCCTTTCTTTTGTTTTCCTAAGAGCCAGTGCCCACTGACAGGTACACAGAGCCTCATGGAAGCAGCTTGTTGTCCCTCAGCCAGAGCATCCCTAGCACCTCAGCTTCCTCTTCCCTGCTCCTTTCAGCCTCCCTGCGATCACATATTTATCTCCCACGGTGGTTGTAACCAACTTCCCTGCTGCATTGGGTGGCAGAGAAGCAAAAATCTTTATCAGCAGACCCTGTCATTACCCAGAGCTATGTTCCTCAATCGCAAGAATATGTGGGATACTGCTGTTAATAGAAAGGAGGAAAAAAATAAAGTGCACGATATACAGTAAATGCTTAGAATTTGTACATGCTATATTGTCTTGACTCTTTGAGAGCTTCCAGCAATCCTGAAGGTGCCTGACAGGGAGTCATCTGTAATTGTGGTGAGACAAATTTGAATTGTAGCTCTGTTGTAATCTTAAGTAATTAAAACTTTCTTTATGAAAAATGACTGTTTTGAAAAGAAAATCAGCTGCTAGTAGTATTCACAATGTTAAGGAAGAAAAAGCCAGTACATCCAATGAAGTGATAGGTTTTTGCCAGAAAAGGGGAGTTTGGATACATTAAAGACTAGAATGATGGATTTTGCTGTGCTGGGAATAAGTCCATCTTATATGTACTTTGAAATAAGGAAAAAAGGACATTCATAAAAATTTTAGCAGTGGCTTGAGCCAGGGCAAAATTTGTTTGGGTGAGATAGTTCTAGAGAAAGCTGAAATGACAGTTGACTTGTATTGGAGGTGAGATATTTTAAAAATAAGCAGGAAAAAGCCAGAAGCTTCCACCACCTTTTTTGTGTTTATGGGTTCGGGGATTTATGAAGCCGTCTGGATGTACTTCTTGGGAATGTTAGGCTCCCGCCTACCCCTGTTGTTGGATGTGTTCAGACAGGTGCTGCATGGCCAGCTGTCAGGAGTATTGTGAAGGAAATTCCTGCCTTGGGGTTCTGGGAGGCCTCATTCCTTGACATTTAAGTGTCTAAAGTCTCTTCCATGCTATCCTTCCATCTTCTGTCTTTTTTTAAACTTTATTTTAAAAAAATTATTATTATTCTGCCACACTTAGACTGAAGCCCCAGGCTTTGCACATGCTAGACAAATGCTGTGCCATTCATCTCCACCCTCAGTCTGCCCCGACCTTTTTTTCTTCCCTTTAAAATTTTTTTGTGCCCCTTAGTAAGTAGCTAGAAACAGTGAGTACTGAACTGAAAGCAACAGAGGTTTTTGGTCAGCTGGTCCTTATACCTGAATACCTTGGCTGCTCCCCAGGTCCTGGGCCAAACTTCAAAGCAAGCAGTTACTTTTACTTCCTGTCTCATTTAAAACCAAAATTGCCACCCTGGCCTGTCTTTAGCTCTATATAACGGTAGCCCCTGCCTGCTTTTTGCTCAGGCAGTCTTTTCTGAGTGATAGGAGTTTAGCAGATGAAAGTAATTTACGCCTAAGGTGTGAATGAGTCTTGGTCTTTGAATGTTTGCATTTTAAAATCAAGTGAGGCTTGGGGTTGCCAGGGGCTGGTGGAAGCAGGGGAACCCTAGAGTTACTGTTTAATGATTACTGAGTTTCCGTTTGGGAAGATGAAAAGTTGTGGAGATAACGGTGGTGATGATTGCAGAGCAAAGTGAATGTGCTTAATGGCCACTGAATTGTGTGCTTGAAAATGGTGACAATGGTAAATTTTATCTTATGTATATTTTACCACAAAAAACCCTGAAAATCAAAGTAGGCTTTCACAAACACAAAGAATATCATACAAAAATATAAGATTTTTTAGAGAATTTGAAAGATGCAGAAAAACAGAAGAGTGAGGGAGTCATAAATCTCCCCACTGATGTTTGCATTTTACTGTGTTTGTATATCCTTCCAGTCATTTTTCTATGTAAACAAACTTGGGTTAGTCAGCTTTCCATTATTGTGACAAATGCTGAGGTAAATCAACTTAAAAAAAGAAAAGTTTATTTTGGCTCACAGTTTTAGGGGACATGGTTGGTTGGCTGTATTGCTTTTGGGCTTGTGGCAAGGCAGTACATTATGTCAGAAGGGTGTGGCAGAGGATACTGCTCACCTCATGGCAGCTGGGAAGCAGCAGCAGAAAGGTAGAGACCTGGGTCCCACAATCCCCTTCAGGCACACCCCCCCAGTGACCTAGAGACCTCCCGTTAGGCCCCACCTCTTAAAGGTTCTACCATTTCCCCATTGCATCTCACTGGGGACCAAGGCTTTAACACAAACTATAGTAATACCTTTCTTTTTAAAAATTCAAGCACAAGGCTAAACTATACATATTGTGTGCTTTTCATTTATTATATCATAAATTCTAAGTTGCCCAGGCTAGTCCTAAACTTGTGATCTTCCTACCTTAGCCTTTCAAGTAGCTGGTATTACATGTATCTGCCACCAGGCCTAGCTCAGATGAGCCTGTAATGGTGGAATTCTGAGGCGAGATTCTGGGAGCAGAATTAGCTTTAATAGTTTATGAAGGAATAATTATTGTGGTGGTCACCAAATAAAACAACTGACAGTGCAGAAATATGATTTCTGGGTAGGGAGCAGCAAAAGGTAGGGATGTATTAAGCACATTCCATTCAGGAACTTGAGACTCTTGGAAAGGCTTGTCAGACAATGGCAGGAACTTAAATTGTGTGTGGGAATGGCCTGGAGCTTTTGTCTCCCTAACAGGCCTGGCCTTATTAAGGGTCTCCTTAAAGGCTGAACACTATAACCATTCTTAAAGTCAAGTCAGCTTTATCATCCAAGAGCAAGTATTGAGCTTAGCTCATTTTGCTTACCTGTGAAGTGGAGATCTTTAGTGCCTACCTGAGAGTTCTTGGAATTAAATGAGATGGTGCCTGCAAAAGCCTTCCTGCTCATTACACACTTGTTCTCGTGACTTTTCTGTGTTAGACACTGTAAAAGCACCTCCTAGGGATGTAAACCGAATGAATACAATGAGGGCTCTGCCTTAAGGTGCCAGTTATGTGTAGAGAAGATAGAGAAGAAGAACCAGATATGGGGAAAGCAGTAGCCTCCAGTTTAGAAATGTTGGCTTTCAGGACCCTCGGGTCACCAGGTGGGCAGAGCAGGCAGACAGCCCAAGAGAGAAGCCAGGTGAGCAGTGAGTGAGGTCATGGGCCTCCCAGGTGTTGTCCAGGTTGTGGGAACAGATGAGCTCACCTTGGGAGAGGAGGAGAAAGCTTATGTGGCACCAGCAGCCGCAGCGTTTAGGGTCAGTACTGGGGCTGGTGTCAAACACAGAAGGACAAGCCGCAGAAGCGGAAGAACCAGGAGAGGCAAGGGAGGAGTTTTGAGGAAGAGCTGGAGGGCAGCAGTTTCCAGTGGTAGAGTGGACTGAGAGCAAGGCAGTGCATGTGGCATGGGGTGGCACTGGTGGCCTCGCTGAAAACATGATTTGAGCTTTGTGAGAATGGGGCAAGATTGACGAGAGCAGACGCCCACCTGTTGGGAGCTGAGCATGAGCTGGCATGAGGAGAGGATGTGGGAGTCAAAGAGGGTCAGAAGGACACTGGCGGAGCCCAGGATACACCCCAGAGTTTCATCCCAGCATCTTATTTTCTTTGTGAACCAGACTCAGGGATCCCTTAACTCCTATCTTTGCCTGGCTACTTCCTCTTACCTCCAAACTGAATGTTACAAAGGAAAACCATCTTAATCAAGACCAGATCCCTTTGGTCCCAGGTTTGGTGGCTCTGTTTCTAGCACAAAGGATCTGACCCAGCACAGCCTCACTTGTCATTCCTTGATTACAGAAAGAAAAATCTCTCGATTTGGGAGAAGTCATAGTGAGTTTTCTGGTGATTTGTTTATCTTTGGTCACTCTTCCTACAGGTTATTTCCTGATGCAGACACACAATTTTATTTTTAACATGAACCTGATTTTCACTAATGCTGCAAAACTTAATGAGTTCTTGTTATATGGCAAGCCCTGCCCTGAGCCACGTGCTTTCCATAAAGTAAGAACTCAGTAAACATTTTATTACCCATTAGGAGCTCTTGTCAACAAAACCAACTTATTATTAGGTATGTTATTTTTCTTCACTACTCTGCTAGCTCCTTTGTTTAAAATGAGAGTCCCATTCTTGTCCTCTCTGTGCATCTCTGAAACTCAGTTTAGCTATCAGCTCTCTGCCGAGCCTTCTGCAAGGTAGCCTTAGCCACTTCTTCCCATTGTGCCAGTGATGTACCTTTGGACAAGACTCTTGGAGAGCTGGAACCTGGGGTTTACTTCCAGGTTGTTGGACAGAGTGTGAAAGTCCTTCTGAACTAGGTTGAAATGATGAGGAGCATCTGGGCCAAGTCCTTGAGGGAGACTAGGAAGTCAAGCTAGAGAGTCTGTAGACATCAGTGCTAAGTTCAGAGAAGATGAGAAATAAATGAGAGATGAAGACAGTTAAGGAGTGAGATGGCAGCATGATCCAGACATGGGAGCAAGCTGGGGATCTGGGATCCTTGCCACAGATGCCAAGATAGCACCTGTGACTTGGCTTTAGGTTTGTGAATAACAACACAGTCACAGACATGAAACACATCCTCCCTTTGTTCACACAGGAACGAGCATTTTGTTACGAGGCAACGCCTGCATTTGACTTTCAACTTCAACAAGTACGATAGAATAGACACAGAGGAGTATCTAATAAGTATGATTAATGAATGAAGAAAAGACAAGGAGAATATCTGCCTTCAGCTCAGTCTGAA